CCGCCCCTCTTTCCTGCCTATGCAGGGGGTCGGACTCGATGATCTATTGAGGTCCCTTCCGACCCTAACATCTATGAATCTATGAATCTATGACTGAAGGCCAAGGTGTGGGTTCCCATAACTACAAGCGTTTAACAAAGCAAATAGACAACTGGCTCAAAAACCTTAGACCTTTTGGTGTCATGAGAAAGTTAGTTTTCACAGCTTATTTGTTAAGAAAAAAAAGAAGAGAAGTCTCCTGAAAGCTATTGAATTTTGCAGCTCTTCAGGAGATACCCAGTTCTCAGCCAGATCTTCATATTATTATTATTTCAACTCTCTCGTCTCCTGCACTTCCTGTGAATGGCTTTGTCAGGACCTACGCTCCATCCCTCTCTGTCTCAGGTTGCTTGTTTCTCCTCCCAAGTCCTTCGGGAAGTTGTTCTCCTATCTTCTTTTCTCTTACACTACATCCAGTCAGACCACAGCAGATGTATCTCCACTTTCAGAAACTTTTCTGCCTATCAATGTCATGGACCATGAATTTTTGCACGGCTGTGGCCAAGCCAAAATTCACTTCCTACTGGTTGTCTTCTTGGTGACAGCTGCTCCACCTTTGCCCTAAAAAGCTGCTGTTGCTACTGAAAGGCCAACTTATCCCCATTTCCTCTTTCTCTGCCCCATCTCTCTAGAGGACCACATGTTCTTGTACCTCAGTAATATTTTTATTTTTCCAAGATCTTGCAGGGCTTACCCCACTCAACCTGACCTTTCTGCATGGGCCATCTCTCTGCCTCTATCTTTTCTTTTCATCAGCTTCTTCCTTTCGAGAGATATTTGGCTATCTTCAAGTTGATAGTCAACAAGACTCTCTCTAGCTTCCACTTGTGCTGCCCAGTCACTTCACATAATCCACAAACATTTCCTTTCTTTTTTCTAAGGCTTGAAAAACTTCTGGAAGCTCAACACACCTGTCTTCTACTCACTGATCCTCTTGGCATTTTTAAAAGTTAATTCTCTCCTTGTCCATTAATTGCTAACTTCTCCCAATCGTGGAGATAGACAATACTTCGTTATATGAACCCTGGCCACGTAGCCCTCAGGTACAACACCAAATTGTGCTCCTGTGGCTCGCTCCTTAACACCCTTTATTCTCTTGCACCTTGAGTTCATGATTCGTCGGCCCTGTAGTATGAGCTTTACAGCATTTTGGTCTTCTCTCAACCATGTCTCAAATTCTGTGGTGCCTGTACTGTCACATCCCCGCCCTGTCATACCCCACTACCCTGGTACCGTGATAAACTTCAAATAAAGAAAATGTTTCCTTCCTCTCTTCCTAGAGCAGTCTGCTTGCCCTGCTCTACTGCTCACTTTGGTGAGGGGCTTCTCTCCATAAGGAAACCTCCCATGAGACGCATCCAAAATCAAAGGTCTTTGTAATTTGTCCGCTTCTTAGACATTAGAATTGTGCGTTTGTTCTGCCTCAGCTCAAAGGAAGTCATCCCCCGTGGGCATAAGTGGAGCCCAGCTCTCAATACAAGGATGTGACAGAATTAAGCCCCAGGGTTTTCAAATTAGGAGCCACTGTGAGATCTTGAGAAGAAATCACTTGGGAATTACTGCTTTCCCTGAAGCTTGCTTTGTCCAGCTGTAATGGGTAAAGGAAAGCTGACACCACCCCTCCCTCATAATAATAGCAGCAGCTTTATCCACTTCCCTTCTCCCTCCAGTCAGGGCTCATTATCTCCCAAGAAAGCCACCTGGCATGTGGCTCCAAAAGGAACTGGACTGTTTAGACCACTTCTGTTTTTCTCTTGCATACAGCTCACCTGCTCACAGTAAAAGGGCTGTGGTTATGAGTTACATCACGGCTGCAGTGTGAAGCCAATTCAATCTGATCTGCTTTCAGATTGCAATCCCTGAAGTAAGGCCAAAGGATTCTTGGTTCACGTCCTTCATCTGGTATGGAGAGCTATTCTGCTCCCTAATATGAAGGATCCTCAATCTCCATCACTGCTTGTGCAATCTTTTTGGCCAGATAAGTTTACCAAAATGGGATGTACCTGAAGTGTAATATGACCAAATGGGCAAAACTACTGAAAAGTGATAGAGGCATTCACATGATCTATGGTGCTCTGGCAGCTTTGACTCCAAAGATCTCTGCCTGACACAAGTACTGCCAGTCTGCACCATGAGACCAAATGGGAAGCCAGGAGTGCAGGCTGCTCATCTCTCTCTCAAATTTGTGAGCAGAGCCAGGATTTGAAACAGCTGTACGCTGCAATCAGCACACAGACAAGTTCCAAATTCAGTATTTTTACGTCAAGAGCCAGATATTCCCCATCACGTGGATGTTTCCTTATTTCCTCATCTCACTATTAGTATTTTTCATTTAACAATTTGACAGAAATAAAATACACTGCAGTAATACCAGTGATAACGCATTTACTCCCACTTGAAAGACTGCCTTTATTCTTTCATAAGTCACTTCTAGCTTACAGCTCTATCGATCACAGGTGAGGATGAATGGAATATCCCATGATCCTCTGGGATAAATCCTACATATATATATATATATATTTATATCCACCAAACAACTATTTCTAAAACTCAACAAAACAGGTCACCAGGGCAGCACTCCATTGATTTCATGTCCACTTATTCTTCAGATGCTATGTTGAATGCTTGATCAATAATTCAGCAGGCTGTGGGCCTCAGAAGCCCCAAGAGGCACTATCCTATCTCCCACATAGGATCTGAGAGGTGCTTTGGTTACTGAAGAGCTGAGGGCTCATCCAACCTTAAAGCTGCCACCCCTTAGGAAATGCACCCTTCAATGCTGGAGAAGCTGGGCCATATAGTAGCCACATCCTGGAAATCAATGGGAGCTAAGACTTTCCCATATCACAAAACCGGGCCCTTCAAGAACACTACTCAAATTCTGGCCTGGTGCCTTTTAACATCACCTGGATTTAAGTCAGCCAGTTATGAGCCCAGAGACAGCTTTATCATCTTCCCCTTTGGTGTTAACTTGCAAGATATTATGGCGTTAACAGAAAAGCAGTTCTGCTCCGGTGCTTCAATGCCCAGGAAACCCTTCCAGAGATGACTCTGCCCACTGGAGTTTTACATTATTATCCGCACTCTTGTCTCTCAGATTTCAAAACAGGTCTTTATAAAAATCCTTTAACCTCCAATTCCTTTCATCCTCCCCTCCTCATTCCCGGGAGATATCTCCAGCATGGAACTTACAGTTCAAAAAGCCTCAGCGTCTGGAAGAGCTGCCACGACAGTGTGGTGAGCCGGTTACCAGAGAGGTCTCTGTAAATTAACAAGAGAAAGAATGCATGGTTATTAATTCCCTCAGTGCTGGATTCTACAAGGTTCATCAAACCTCATCATTTCCACTCCAGTTTACATTTACAGGGAGATAGTCAAGTAGTTTGAAGACCCAACTTCAGGCTTAGGAAAAAATGTTATGAGACTGAATGCAAACTTTCTATCCTCCTTGCCCCCCGCCGCAACCAAATAGGGAAAAATCAACTGTATATAAGAACTGTATATAAGAACCAGAACGTAAGCCAGCTCTGAACAGCATGGCAAACCAATCATTCAGCAAACTAGTGAAATAGAGGAAACAAACTGTGGCAAAGAGTAAATGTCAACCTCTGAAATTCTATCAGTGGTGACAATCTGAGATGTTAGCACTAACTCAGAGAGTCAGATTTTTTAAATTATACCAGCAGTATAAAATGTATCAGCAGTATCAGTTAGACCTGTACCACTTGCACCATGGGTTGCTACTCTAGCAATGGAAAGCAATCGCCTTCTGGCAGCACTCAATGCCAGAAGTACAAGAGTGTGAAACCTGTTCTGCCCAGGGAGGTTTTAGAAATCAGCATCCCTGTTACATCACCTGAGTCAGGTAAAGGCCTGGGAAATGGTAGAATGGGAGGAGGAAGAAGAGGGATGAACGATCTGGAGACAGGAGAGAGAGACCATGGGACAAGGCTAATTCAGAGAGGATGGAGCATTATTATGAAGGCAAAGAAGTTGCCTTTGACTTTTCTTTTTTTTGGTGAAGGGAAAACAATAAAGAAACAAAGCTTGTAACAGGCAAACTGTTCAGCCCAACCAAAGGACACAGCTTTATACATACAGAGTGGCTGCCCAGTCTAGCCACAATGAAGTGCCATCACACAAGTCAAACCTGTTGCACTTGAAAAGACTCTGCTATGGTAACACTGTACTGCAAAAATGAGGGAGACCTCAAAAAGCTTCAAGCCATTATCGCCAACATGGATAAGCAGTAACCAAATGCAAAGCCCTCCTTTAATTCACTCTGAAACCCCCACATCAAACTCCACTGCACTTTCATATTTTCCTCAGCAAGAACTCAAAAGGGTAGGACTGAATTACTGGTGAACCCCAAGTCTGGACACCAGTTAAAGGCTAAAACAATAAATGTCACTGAACCTCATGCCTATTGCCAAGACTCTCCAGTCACAAAACCACAGAGAAGCCCAGGATCTCAAATCCTAGCCCCTAAGTGCAGGAGGCAGGCCATGGTTACACCACCTCCGGCAAGCCTGGGAGCACATTCCTGGAGTGCTGATAGTGGGAAAGCCAACCGATCTTCCCTGCCTTGCCCATCAGCAATGCACTCCCAGGGAACAGATTTGCAGAGCGGAGCTGCTTCAGGATTTCCTCCAAACCAAACACAGGGTCCTGCACCCTAATTATCCATCATTAGCAAGGCCCTGCAGGTCCTCAGTCCTTCCCATTAAAGCTGACCCTTTGCTTCTCATTCCCCCCATCCCCAACTGTTATTCTTCTCCTTATTTTAAGGCGGTCACCACTGCCCTCACCACCCAGGCCTGTGCAGCTATGGTACTGTATCACGTGTGGCTGCTCTCTGGCTGCAGAGACCTTTCTTGCTGAGACCTCCTTTGCTGTGAATGACAACGAAATGCAAGGGATGTCAACAAAAAACCCAGGGCCTCATTAAATTGACCACCAGCAAAAGAAGAGAGATGGGACAAAGGGAGGAGGTAGCACAAAGGCAGCTCCAGGCAACTAAGTCTGCTAAAGGCCAGGCACTGGGAGCCTCGGTGGAATCAGAGAAAATGCTAAACAAGAGTGAACACAGAGAAGCAACTCCGGACACCAGCTCTGCCTGGGCTTGGTATGAAAGGAGGCCGAATCATTTGGTCATTCAGCTCAGGATAAACAAGAAGACCTTGCCATTAGCAGGCTGGTATAGTTCAGAAGGGTAAGGCCTACAAGCCCAAACTGGCCTTTGTTGGGCAGAGAGGCTCCTCAAGGGGACTTTACCTATTCAGCCTAGAAGGATTCCTCCCTCATGCTCTCATAGGGAGTCCAGAGCCTGTGAAAACCTGACACTTGCTACATCTGAGCAGCCAGCCCTCCTGAGAAGCCCTGCCACAATCAACCAGTCCTTCCAGCCCAACCTTCCCGAGACCAGTGGGTCATCCAGCCCTCCCAGTTGGCCCAGGGGCAGGCTCTGTGCTTTAAATTATGAGTTGCACAGCAAAGAATGCAAAGTCCAGCAGAAGAGAAATGGGGCCTTTAAGTCACCCCCAATTATAGGCTGCGGTGGGGCTTAAAATGACCATGAAAATTTACCGCAGCCCCAGTGGATAATCTGATTTACAGCAACTTCTCCTGAAAAGGTCAGCTCTGGAGTTCTGCAGGTGGAGCTTGCATACAATGCCTCTTTACAGAGCAAACCATCTCAATTCCTCCTCATCCCCTTTGGCTGGGGGCCAGCTTACACTGTGATATCAGCACCCTGAGTGGGGACAGGATGACACCAATATGTCACTGCACTGTGGCTCCAAGACACACCACATCATTCTGGGCACAACCACAAGATGCTTATTCATACAGCTAAGATCCCTCCATTCCCGTGGTGTTAGAAATATATTTCTAGCTCCCAGAGTGCAAAAAAAAAAAAAAAAAGAAAGGCTAGGATGTGCAGACAGGCAGAGCAATTATATCGATAGCAAATAATACCAATATAAGTGGTCAGCACAGAACCGTTACATCTGCATGCATCTCTAGCAATAAAGTGTAGTTAAACTATCGCAGCAGTAAGCTGCTTCATTGCGGGGAGCGGGTCGATTCAGCTAACCTGTATTGCTACAGCATCATGCAGACATAAACAGATACAGCATAGCAGATGATACAGTTAAAAGGCTCTTTCAGGCCTGTCACACAGGACACTTAGCACATGTTTTATTTAGACTGTAGCAGGCATTGCCGTGCCATATTAAAAGTTGTAGCATATTCTGAGGAGTTGCATGATAATGCTTACCATGAGCTCAGCCCACTCTGGACAGGGCTGGAGCTGGCTGTGTCCACTCTTTCCTCCCTCCCCC